ATCGGCGATGCGTCGCGATCCTCCGTCCCCATCCACTCGGACCCCACCTGGGAGACCGAGACTTTCGATCTTCGCCTTACGAGGCGCTGCGGCCCCCAGTCGAACGCGCGCCGGCGGGGGAGAATGGGGAAACCAAGATGCACCGATATTGCGACTCCCTGGACCTCTCACGGGGTGCGTTCTGACCAGAATTTCGAGGCGAAGCCAGCGGTGGCGTCAACGACCTCCTGAGGCCCCAGAAAGCGAAAACGAGGCAAGGGTAGCAGTATCGGTATCTTCTCCTGCATTGAGAGACCCCCCCCTTCATCGTCATCGTCATCATCACAATCCCCAGACCCCCGACGTCGTGATTTTTTTCGCAACATCGACCGCCAAAGATCTGGACCCCTTCCCGGGACCGGTTTTTCATCTCCAGTCGCTTTTTGACGGTCCCGAGGCCCGGCGAGGGCACCTGGAGGCCGAAAATGGTGCAAAACCTCCCGTTGCGACCTTCTTCACAACGCGAGGAGGTCTGGGTCGTGCGATCTTCGCCTCACGGGGCACCGCGGCCCCTGGTCGGGCGCGCGCCGGGGACGGAGACCCCCCCGCTCATACGAGCCCGCCGCGGCCCGCCGCCCGCCGCGGAAGCCAGGGGCAGGCGGCACGCCCGGAGCCGGGTGCCGTGCAGCATGCTCGTGCCTTGGCGCCCATGGCGTGGGCTCGTGACGCTAATCGCTTGGAGGCCTCCCAGAGGTATGCCCATACCGCTCTACCCTTCGCCTGGTTTCCCCTGTTCTGGCCTCCTGGGGTAGCGGTATCGCTACCTCTTGGTTTCGCCAAGATGGGGTCGGAGCAGGTGGGGTCGGAGGATCGCGCCGCATCGCAAATGCATCGCCGGTGCATCGGCAGTGCATCGGCAACGTCGGCGAGAAAGAACCCGAACGTCTCGAGAAACTCAGCGCGGATTAATTGTGCAATTTGTTCGGCATCTGGGGAAGATCAGGATGGCGAGCAGGTCCAGATCTACGGTGAGCCCGTCCTCAGAAACTCAAGGCATCGGATGCCTTCCAACCCCGCGCGGATCGCTCAGCTTTTAACGATCGGCGGGGTTCCGATCGATAGATCGTTTCATGATGGCCGATTCTGGGAAACACTGGCGGCGTTCAACCTTGAACGCCCGCGGCGGGGTCGCCACCGCGTCGGCGCGACTCAAACCTACCGTGGGAACAAGGAAATGCGACACCACCACCACCACCACCACCACTTTCACCACCACCACCGTGAGGACGCCAGGAAGGGTCCTCCTGGTGGCGGTGGTCCCACGCTCTTGTTCGAGGCATCCCCTGTCCCTGGCCTGGGAAGGCATGGTGGACCCTCTCGCTGGAGGTGCCCCCCCTGGTGCTAGTGGTGTCGCCTCTCCCTCCTCCGACCAGGGGAACAATACTAGCTCGAGGCTTGGGCTTAGTGGCCTCCCAATGGGTCCGAGCAGATGGGGTCGGAGGATCGCGCCGTATCACCTCTGCATCACCGATGCAGCGGCGGTGCATCGGCGACGTCGGCGTCACATCGGCGACGCGCTTCACATCGAGCCGCATCGCCGATGCGTCGGCGATGCGGCGCGATCCTTCGAACCCAGCTTCTGTGAGCCCAGCTGCGAGGCGTAGACGAGAGTACGGTCACCGCCTGTGGGTTTCATCACTGCTTGGTGGACCGATCTTCCTGAGCCTCCAGAGGCGGCGGGTACGGACATGATCGGGCATCCTCGGCGGCCAAGAGGTGCCCAGATCCACTGCCTCCTGGTGTCCCGGGGAAAACGGTTCCCCAGCCAGTGGATGTGCATGTGTAAACCCTTGCCTCGTCACTAAGAGGCAACTCCTGCGAGGCCTTCGTGGGAACGACCACGAACTACCAAGCCCGAGTGAAGGCCTCTTGAGTAGGAGCAGGCCTGAACAAACCTTACATGGAACGGAACTGACCCAGACAGAACCGCATTGGGCAAGTCGGAGGTTCCCAGACACCGACGGGCGATAACGCTCGGTGTGCTCCCGATCTCGACCGATTTCTTGACGGCGACAGGTCTCGCTCTCTAGGTCCTCATTCGGAACAGGTATGAAGGGACCCAGGGACACACACAAATAAACATACACAAATAAACAAATCCCGGATATGTTCCCATGTTTTCTGTGTCTTTGCCTTCCCCTCCCAATTCCTATATGTTCCCATCTTTTCTCGGAAATCGACGATGAATTGTGTCTGTGCTTTTTCCTCAAGACTGTCGCATTCCTGCGGGCGACCCGTGCAGCCCGCGAGCAGGGCAGCCGGAGGCCCCGAGTTCGAAGAGGCCACGATTGCAAGAGGGGGACCAACGGAGATCGAACAAGGAGGCGAAAGAGGAGGAGGAGGCGGTAATACTGAAAGGGCCCTCAACGAACCCTATCTACTGCCACCAAGGCTCCAAAAGATGCATGCAAGGTGCAGGTGATGCTCCACCCTATGTGTAGTGGAAAGACCATAAGGTACCGATACCGCTACTCCCAGGACCACTTCCGGGGAGCGTTCTGACCAGCATTTCGAGGTGAATCCAGCGGTGGCGACGAGGGCCTCCCAGGAGGCCCAAGAAAGGCGAAAACAAGAGAGGGTAAAAATGTGGGTGCCGTTTCCTCCTCCGAATTTTCAGTTCCGCCCGCTTGTCATCCGACCAATCCGAAACGGCACCGCCCACGCCCGTGCCGCGAGCCGGGTGCTGACCCAGAGGCGTGCCTGGCCCAGGAGCGTCCCGAGGACTTGCCGGGAGGCCTCCGGGAGCACCCCTCACGAGGCCAAGAGCTGGCGGCGCGCACGCGGGTCCAGTGTTGCCAGAGGTACCCCTGGCCAGAGGCGCCCCCAGGATTTCAAGGGAGGCCCCTGCGGCCTCCGGGGCTCCCCCGCACGAGGCCCCGAGGGCCCCAGAAAGCCCGGGGGGTCCCAAGGGCGGGGGCCTTCTCGGAAGGGCTCAGAGACGTCTCCTGTGGCAACTCGTAGGAGCACCCCATGTCATCATGGCTCTTGCGAGCCCACGATAACCGACGCTGACCGAGGCTGATCCTCAATGGACGCTTAGTAGGTGCGTTCTCGTCGATTACCACACGCTAGCGTAGCCGAATGCATCATATGAAGACAGCGCGCAACCGACCCCCACGGTAAGCCAGGACCCCCACTCCCGACCGGGTGATTCAAAAAATCCTGGCTGGGGGAGAGAGAGGATCGTCTTTACCCACAAAAAGAAAACACTCCCACCCCCAGCCAGGACCCCTTGGATCACCAGGTCAGGAGTGGGGTCCTGGGGGGTGGGGGTGGGTTGAGCGCTGTCGTCGCTCTAGAGACGGACCATCGAGGATACACGAGGCTCCCATGAGCTGCTGCCGAAGGCATCCAAGGAGGCTCCTCAGAACCGGGCGCACGCTTACAAGGATGAGGGATACGTTGATCTGTTGCGCGGTCACCAGATCCAGGGATCGGGGAAGATCCCCCCGAGAGATGGCGCCAATGCCGTCCGATCTAGTGGCGGAGCGGGCCGATTCTGTGGAAACGGGACCTGGCGCTAATCGCGATAATCCACGCGCAGTAATCCATGTTTGCGCTTATTCGACCCTGAAAAACACCCCACCTATTGAGAAGGCACCCCCTCGCGCCGCTCCGACATCCGCCGTTCACCGGAGGGGGGGGAAGAGCCCAAAGCCTGCAGCACACGGGGCGAACGGCCGGGGAACTCGACCTCTGGCAGGGCAGGACCTGAGCAATGTTTGTTGTGTTTCGTCTTGTTGTCGTATTTCCTGATTTTTGAACGATTTCGTGGACCGTTTTGAACAGTCTTGGCCGAGCCCTGACCTCTGGCAGCGCCTGCGCCGAAAAGCCCCCACGCCGTCGCCATCGACCAAACGGTGGTCATGGCCACTACACGCACCCTTGGGGGTGGATCCCCCTCTGCCTCGGAAGCTTTTGGGCAAAATCATTTTCCCGGCCGGGTGGGGAAAATCTATCTGCCAAACAATGCTCGATCGGGCACACGCCATGGATTCGGGAACCGTGGATGTGACGCGTCGGGATCGGTGGACGTGGCGCGTGACCGCCAGATCCATGGATCGGGGAAGGCCCCCCCGAAGCCTGAAGCCAACGCCACTTCACCTGGCGACGGAGCGAGCCGATACTGCACGGAAACAAGCCCGTCGCTAATCCAAGCGCCTTCATCCAGGTTAACTGAAGACAAACCGTCGGAGGTCCGCGCGGAGTTCTTGGATCGGCGATGGAGCCCCCTGGCGGAGCCTCCGATGTCGCCCCTGGCACGCGCAGCGTGCCAAGCAGGGGGGTCCAACACCGATCCAAACAATCCGCGCGGACCAGTAACTATTTACTTATTTCAATGTTTGTTAGTGGGACCTGGGGTTGACCAGGCGTTGTTCCCTGCCCCGCCCCCCCCCGCCCGTGGGCGTGACGCCTAGGCGGGGGGGCCTCTACGGGGGAAAGATGATCATCGATTTAGGTGCTTGTGGTCATCTTTCGGCCACCTGGGAAGCCCAAACGTTGCCACCCTCACCGAGATCGGGATCCATCTTCCCTCGGTGGAGGCAAACGCCGATACTGGTTTTGGAGCCCCCCCCCAGGTCGCCGAGATTGGACGACGCTGTGATCGACCAAGCGGTGGTCCCCGCCCCGCCACCCCCCGCTCGTGGGCGTGCCGCCGAGGCGGGCAGACGGCGCCCGCCGAGCAGGGCTGGAGCTAAGCAGAGTGCTTCGTCTTCGTCCTGCTCTTGCTGTCCTTCGCTCTGTCTTCGTTCCGCCTCCCCTGCGGAGCGACAGCAAAACGAAGACGGCCCACGGAATCGCCGCAGCACCGTTTAGCTCGAACCCTGGCGCAGGGGGCGCGCCGAGCCCGCGCCCGCGCCCGCGGGGGGGGGGGCCCGAGCGGGTGCCGTGGCGCCGGGCGGCACACCGCGGCACGGCCGCCGCGCGCGGGCGGGCGCGGGCCGCGCCGCGGCCGCCGCTCAGCGCCAGCTGCCCCAGCTCCGCGCGGGGGGGCGGTACCCCTGGGGCGGCGGCGGGCGTCCGCGCGGGCGCCGTAGAGATTTACAGTCGGACCTAGGACAGGACACCCTTCAACAACATGAGACCCTCCGTCGGCCAAAGCAAGCAGAACATCCAAGGGTACACCCGCAGAATGCACAAAAACATCCAGCAGACACGAAGAACACTGGGGCATTCTCCCCGAACCGACCTCGATCTGATGCCTCGGTACGACTGTACACACCGTGTGCTGCTCGCCCGTGGGCGGGGCAGGAAACCACTCGACCGATCACGAGAGGTGGGCGAGCGAAGGCACATACAACCCGTAAAAGAAGGATGTACGGTAAGGACGGAACGACCGTGGAGAGCCATGTCAGCGTTCTTCGAATGAGATTGGCCAGCGAAAGTCGCAAGGGTGGACCGAAGGGGCAAGGACGCAAGGGTGCCCCTCGGAAGGTTGCCCATCGTTACTATGCTGGTTGACTGCAACTAAACAACATCCCTCGGATGGCGGTTAACGAAGAGGTACGGAAAACGAGGCACGTGGTTCGCAGATAGATGCACGAACCTGTGCAGGCCTTCGTCAGAAACGTGGTGTGAATATTTGGTTGAACGTCTCACGCTGGCTCGCGAATCTACCCCGAAGAATGTCCATAATACTGTGTGCGGTGGCGGTTGCGAACCAGAAGTATTATGATCATGTTCCTGTCCTCGACTTTGCACGTCCACCGCGGAGGACTCCAGGGGGCTGCAGATGTGGGCATCAATAGATGCTAACATCGGCGGCGCGCCTTCTCAGAAGGCTGGGAAGCCCCCATGGCCTTCTGAGAAGTGCTCCGAGCCTTCCCCGAAGACGCAAGAAACCTCTCAGATGGCCCCAGGCCTTCTGAGAAGCTCCGCCGCCTTCTGAGAAGACCTTCTCCAAGGGCTCCCAACTTCGCGCTTCGCGCTGAGCGAAGCGCGAAGTGCGAATGACTTCGCGCTCCCGCGCCGCCTCCCAGGGGAGAAGAGGAGGATGAGGAGGAGTCGGAGCCGAACCGCGAAGCGCGAATAACTTCGCGACCTCGAGGGCGCCCTTGTCCTCTTCCTCGGTTCCCTCCCTCGCTCGCTCGCCGAGGAGCTGCAAGCGGACTCCGAGGGCCGTCTTCCCGGCACGGATCCGGAGACGGAAGGGGCAGGCAAGACCACTCGGGCACGACACGGTGGGCCGCGGAGCGGGGCGAAGGGCTGCCAGGGTGGCACTCCGCGCTCCGTCCCGAGTCGTTCTGTTCACGGCCTAGGTGCGGGCGAGACGTGTGCCCACACCCGCTGCATCTTGGAGCTTGCGGTTCTCTTCCCCAGACAGCCGAAGCGCAGTGGATATGGATAGAAACCTGGCTCCGAGAGGTTCGATTGATATCAGCATCCACTGCGCCTCGGCCTTGTGGCGCCCCTTCCCAGAAAGTCCAAGACGCAGTGTAGAAGGATATAAGTCTTGCCCGCACCAGCTGGGGTCTCCCGAGGCCGACAACTGACAAACACGTCCGTCGAGGCGGGACTCGCTCAGTGCCAGTCCTCCGGCCTGTCGCGCCCACGCCGCCGGCTCCCGAAGGCTGTGCTGCGCGGCGACGGAGAGGGAGGAAGGGAATGAGAGGCAAACATAGAGGCATCCCAGATGGGGTCGGAGTAGATGGTGTCGGAGGATCGCGCCGCATCGCCGATGCATCGGTGACGTCGTCGGCGTGGAGAGAGTCGGACTCCACACCGCGCCGCATCGTCGAAGCATCGGCGATGCGGCATGATCCTCCGTCAACAAATGCCGCAGATTTCGTAATAAAAGGGAGGGGGTCACAACCCTCCCAGACGAGCCGCTTTAGACCCCCCCCCAGACCAGCCATGAAAAGGCGGCCTTTTGCTCAGACTCCCCACTTGCACCCTCCAAGACAGCTCGAATCAGACCCCCCCCAAATGTGGACCCCACACTTTATTACGAAATCTGGAGCGCTCCGACCCCATCTGGGAGGCCCAGGAAGAACGACAACGGAAAACGCGTCGCCGCGAGGCCAGGACAGGTGGAACGAATGAGGCGGGAAGGGGCAGAAGAGAGACGGCATGCAAGGAGCAAAGGCTGATATGCTGCGTCTTCGGCCCGTCGCGCCGCGATCCGCGCCGAATCCATGCCGAATCCGTGTCGGGCGCGTTGAGTCCGTATCGAATCCCTGTCTCATCCGTGTCGCAACCACGTCGGGTTCAGGTCGAATCTGCGTGGAACCCACGTCGTAGTACAAGAAACATCTGCAATCATAGGCAGGGAAAAACTCCCCGAAGATGCAAAGCGAAGGATGAGAAAGCGAAGGAGAGGAGACAGAACGGAAGGATGATCTTCCGCGACGGGAGCTGAGTTTTCCGCAACGGCCAAAGGCTAGAGAAAGAAAGCGACCCATGACACAGAAACTTTGGAAGGTCCACGAGATTTGTTTGGACTGGCGCGGGACCCCCCCCATGCGCGAGGAGCGCGCCAGGGGTGGTGCTGGAGGCGCCGCCAGAAGGGTCCAGCGCAGATCCAAGAAATCCGTCCGGACCTCTGGCAGTGTTTCTTTACGCCGCCTCCTCTCCGTCGAGGGGTGGGGGACGGCGGCAGGACTGACGGGCGCCCCCACCCCACCCCCCACAGGGGCCTTGCCGAAGCCCTTGCCGCCGCCCCACTTGCCTTGGCCGGACTGCCAGCCTGGGCGGGACGGGGTGGAGGGAGGGAGGGCATGTCGGGACACGGCCTCGATCGGACTACACGCAAGAGCGACCCCGGGTAAGAGTGACCCTTGGCGCTCGTCTTCTTGGGGGCCGCGGGGGGGTCAAACACAAGCGCGCAAGACGCTACTATCACACACACTGCGTTCGACGATCGGGGGACCCCAGTGGGCCCGCACCAAAGGTCACTTCGGCGAAAGGTCACTCGCAGAACCTGTTTTGCAAGATTCGCGGTGACGAGCGTGATCGGGGGAGGGGGACGGTGTTCGTCCCCACCGATCACATCACGGCGGGGGGGCGCCAGAAATCCTGAAATAATCCGTAGGACGTCGTTGCACACGTGGCCAAAACAGCGTGACGTGGTCCAGGGGGCGAGGGAGGGGGGAAGAGGGCCGATCACGGCTGTCATCGCCCACGCCTTTACAAAACAAGCTCTTACGTCGTCCTGACTCGAGGGGGTCAGCCCTGTGCTCCACTGGGGGGGGGAGGGGGCGGGGGCACCCAGACCTCTTCGCGTCGTATCCGAAAAACAACGGGCATTGTCGTTGGGCCACCTTCGGCCTCGGGCGGCTATCGCTGGGCCCTGGGGCGGTCAAAAAACGGCAGTGGATGAAGGACCAGCTCCGAGGAATCGGTCCAGACCTCAGGGGCCCACTTTATGCAAAAACATGACTTCGGGGATCTTGGAGGGGAGGAGACAGATCGAATCGAATCGAGCTCTCGGGGCACTGAGCTTGAACTACCTCGCGAGGAGGGGGGAGAGGAGGGGAAGGGAGGTCGGAGGTTGGGGTGTGAGACCGGAGTTTAACAAAATCCAGTTGAATCCACCTACAATGGAATCGCTGTTAGTTTCGGTTCGTGTCGTGCGTAAAGTGCGTACGAGAAAGATCCTGGCCGTGTTGGGACAGGGCGCCATAATCCCACTAGCCCTCTGGGCGTCGGTGGTTTAGGGCGTTTCCTCTTCCACCTCTCCTTCTTCCCCTTCGGGGAGGGGTTTACCCCTCCCCCTACCAACTCCCCTGGACCTGGATGGGGGGGGGGTCGCGAGGTGCCAAGGCGTCCAAAACGGCCTCGGCGAGGAAGCACACATCATTGGTTGTACCAAGGTTTTGGCACCATTTTGGCCTCCTGAACGGGGGGGCCTAAGTGAAGATCCCCTCTTGTTTGATCGATCTCCTCCAAGATGGCCCCAAGAAGCGCCCAGGAGGCCCCAAGAGGTCCCAAAATGGCCCCGAAATGGCCCCAAGAGGCCCCCAAGAGGCCCCACGGAGGCCCCCAAGAGACCCCCAAGAGGCCCAAAGAGACCCCCCAAAGGCACCCAAGATGCCCCAAGAGGCCTCGGCGAGAATGCCAAATCATTGATTTTACGAAGGTTTTGGCCACATGTTGGCCTCTGGGGGGGGGGGGGCACTGATTAAGATGACTCCCGGAGCGCCTGGGAAACCCCAAAATGACCTCCAAGATGGCTCAAAATATCCCAAAATGTCTCATACTGGTTTCCTCTGTGTGCTGCCCACTTCCCTGATCGAGGCAATTGGCAATTCCTCTGGGCATCGATTCTCGATGGGCTGGTGGGGATTATTTGTTTGGTCGCGGCCGCAAGCGAAGGCGCAGGCGGCGGGTCGGTAAGTCCGGGGCGCGGTCCTTGCTAATTTACAGCGAGCAGCAAACTAGAGCGCGGGGTCAAGCCTAAGCTGCCTGAGCCGCCGAGCTGCGCTGCGGTGAGCTGGGGGCGCCAGGGCCAGGAGGTCGGAAGCGGCCCACCAACACCGACATGCATCAAATTGCCAGGCCAAACGGAATCAGGCTGGTGGGGAAATGCAGAAATCGCACGCCAGGATGCCGATGCTAGTAGATTCCACACATCACTTGCCACAGAAGTAATTAGCTGTGCCAGAGTAAGGAATCCAGGAACGGCTGACGGCCGTCTGCACGTGCGTAGCAGGAGACCGAAACAAAACCAGGAATGGCATAGCGACCAGGGCAAAGCATAGCACCCGAAGACCAGGAACGGCTGACGGCCGTACATACGCGTGTAAACCAACCCCTACTGAACCAGGCTGATACCATGCAAAATGGCCGGTGCAAAACGGCAGCGTGAATGCCAGGAGCCAGGAACGGCTGACGGCCGTCTGCACGCGTGAAGTATGAGACCGAAACCAAACCCAGGAACATGGCATAGCGGCCAGGACATAGCATAGCACCCGATGTCCAAGAACGGCTGACGGCCGCACATACGAGTGTAATCGGACCAGCACCAGGAGCAGGAGCTATGGCGCCCAGAAGCCACAGCGTGCAGCCTTGTCGCCGCGACGGCGCCAGAGGCGGAAGCAACCCTGAGCGCGCCGAGGTAGACCGACTGTCGCGGCCGACCTCGGCGGCGCGGGGAGCGTGGGAGAGCGCGGGCTGGGCCGCGTGCACTCGGGGGCCCCATGCGCCAACGAGCGGTTGGGCACGTGGAGCAAGGGGGGCAGGAAGCCAGGGCCACCGGGGCTGCAGCGGGCCCGGCTGCCTGAGGGGGGGCGGAAGGGGCGAGGGGCCCCAAGAGGCGGCGATGGCAAGAGGGGGCGGCGCAGGGCCACCACCCCGGAATGCACCTTTGCGCCGCGGAGAGATCATGGGGCGGCGGGGAGAGCATGCCCGCTGAGCGAGGGCAGGGGCTTGCGGGCTGGCAGCGCCAGCCAGATGTGAAACAGCTATAACACACGCAACGCTGACACCGACGCACCAAGGAGCGACGGCACGGGGTGGCGCAGGCGGCGCGCGGTGCGGGCCAACATGACGGACGGCGCCGACACGTCCGAAGGCGTCAGCTGCGTCCGCGGCGCTGGCGGGGGCGCGCGCGCGAGCGGCCCTGGCCGCCGCAGACGCCGGGGGCAGCCAGCGATGGGCGACAGGGCCACCGGCGAGCAGTGGCCGGCGAGGGGCAGGAAGGGCGGGACAGCGGCAGACAGGTGTGAAACACGGGCGAGCGCCCCCGCAAAGCCTTAGGAGACGACCACCCACTGTTTCTTGCCCTTCCTGGGCGCGCGGCTGTCAGCGCGGCCCTCCGCCGTCGCTTCCACCCAGGTGCCGATGCCGCAGCTGAGCCCAGTCAACGCCGAAGTCCAGCGCGTCGTTCACGGCCCGTGCGTCGCACTTGTGGCTGCGGAAGGACTACAGGCAGCGAAGGTAAGTTTGCTGGTCGCGCCGTAGCGGGTCGAGCGCGCCTTTGCTGCCAGGCAAGGCGTGATGCTTGGCGAACGCGTGCCGGGCGCCTGTGAACATCGCCCCAAGGGTGACTTGAAGCCGCCCCATCGCCTCGCCATGTGTCTCCCCGGGAAGGTCCCACTGGATGTCGCCGATCTTAGCTTTATACAGCTGCTGCCCCGTGTCGGGGTCTAAGGATTTTGGCCATTGCCACGCGGCGGGCCCCGTGACCAAAGGCGGGGTGATCAGCGGCTGGTCCTTGGCCCGGCGACTGCTGCTGCTGCTGCTGATGCTGCTGCTGCTGCTGCTTCTGCTGCCGTTGCTGCTGGCGCGCCCGCCGCCTGTTGTCTGCCTTCTGCCGGGCCCGCCAGCGCGGTCGACGTCGATGGGGGCCAGGTTTCGACCCGAAGGCGGCGGGGGGGCTGGAGAGTCGCCGGTCGCGGAAGCCAGGCATGGCGCCCACCCGCTGCCAGGCGGACGCGCTGGGGGCGCGTTCAGGCCGCGCCGCCGTCGCCCATCGGCGCTCGAGCTCGCGCCATTGCCAGAGAGGGAGGGGCTAGGATTAAAAGTGGCAGCCAAGGGAGTGTGGCGGCGGGCGGTTGCCTGCTCCTGTTGCTGTCCGCGTTTCAAGCCCCGCGCTGGCGCCGCTTCAACGCCCGTCCCGTGAGCGGCGGGCAGCTCCTGTTCAGCGGGCTCTTCCGGCGCGTGCTCCGCAAGCTGCTCTGGTTCTCTCCTCGGTTGCGCCCGCCCCTGGCCCTGCTGTCTGCGCTGCCGCGCGTTCTGGTCGCGAGTCTCCGGCGAACCAGCCCCGCCGCCCGTATCTCCGGCCTCGACGACGACGCTGTTCCAGGGGCGCTGATAGGGGTGAGGGGCACTGCGGGGGCCAGCCTGCCTGCTCGCTCTGTGGCGCCCCCAGAGGACTGCTGCAGCTGATGGCCGCACTTTCGGATGCAAATTCCTGAGCGTCTGAACTGCGAGGAAAGTCTCCGAGCGGAGGCGCGCCCTCTGCAGCGCTCCCAATTGTCGCCGCGGCGCTGGAAGGCGCGCTTCGGGTCGCGCCCACTGCCTCGACAACGGCGCTGTCCCAGGGGCGCTGATAGGAGTGGGAAGCGCTGCGAGGGCCCGCCTGCCTGCTTCCAGGAAAGGAAGGGGCCGGCGAGCTGCGGCTGACGACGCCCTGTTCGGTCTGTGGCGCCCCCAGAGGACTGCTGCAGCTGAAAGCCGCACTTTCGACTGCTAACTTCTGAGCGTCTGAACCGTGAGGAACGTCTCCGAGCGCGGGGGCGCCCTCTGAAGCGCCCCCAATTGTCGCCGCGGCGCTGTCTCCAGGAGGGGGCGCGTTTCGGTCGCCCTTCCTGCTTCGACAACGGCGCTGTTCCAGGGGTGCAGAAAGGAGTGAGGAGCACAGTGGGGGTCCGCCTGCCTGCTGCCAGGAGAGGGGGGAAACGGCGCTCCGCGGTTCACGAAACCCTGCTCGCTCTGTGGCGCCCCCGGAGGACTGCTGCAGCTGAAGGCCGCACTTTCGGATGCAACTGCCTGAGCGTCAGAAAAGTGAGGAAAGTCTCCGAGCGCGGGCGCGCTCTCTGCGGCGCCCCCAATTGTCGCCGCGGAACTGTCTCCAGAAGGGGGCGAGCTTCGGGTCGCATCTCCCGCCTCGACAACGACGCTGTCCCAAGGGCGCAGTCAAGAGTGAGGAGCACTGTGGGGGCCCGCCTGCCCGCTGCCAGGAGAGGGGGGAAACGGCGCGCCGCGGTGCACCGCGCCCTGCTCGGTCCGTGGCGCTCCCGGAGG